AATACTGGACTCATTAAGCTCCCCAGTTATTAACTTGGGAGGATTTTTCCAAAAAATTATAGCATTGTCCCCTCACTTTCCGAGCAACCATTGCTCGAACAACCACTTGTGGACGGGGAAGAAAGAGAGGATAAACTTTCAACCGAGAGGATGTACTACCTAGTTGATATTCTATCACTGTTTAGTTTCGATCAAGTAAAACGTGGAATTGACTTGTGCCGACATCTACACTCCATATCCCAGAAATGGGGAGGGCGTGACTGCGTGCTTCATCTGAACATGGCGTAGGATCAATTTTTCAGCTCCGAGTGCATGTTAAGGATGCGCTTCTTGTGATATCTTTCCATCCAAGAAAACTGTTTTCCTTTCTTATGTGGGAAGAAAACTTGACTGCATCCGTTTCAGAACAGCAATATGCCACCAAAGTCCCAGCCGCTGATGTTTTGTCCAGGCGGAGTTGGCAGCCACGCCCTCTCCATCTGTGGGATATGGAATGTACATTAGCCCACTTCTCATTCAGAGCCATAGATGGCTTTAAGCACCAAGTGATTACCTTCCTCAGTATAACAAGAAGTATAGCCAGGTTGGGAAATCCACGTACCGGCGAGGCAGCAAAGGGATAGTAGAGCCTTTTCATTCCAAGCTCTTCACAATGAGCATTCTACCCTCAGTTCTTCATCTTTTTCAGCATTTTTGAACTGTTTAGCCATCAATCCTGCTGAGCGTCTAGATGATTCAAGGGCGGAGACTAATTTGTAGTTTCCAGGACCAGCTTTTGACATGACTGCAGTACAAACCGAGTTGGACCAGGTGCCTCAACACTCCTACGATCAAGGCAGCATCATCGAATTCAATAACACTATTGTAAGTAGTTTCAAAGGAATAAGAACCCTCGCCTCATTGAACTTGATGATTTCAGTCGTTCGAAGCACGAATTCGAGAAGTTGGAGCACATTTGAAACATACGATGCTCACAGGCGCGCCTCATCTCATTCGCGAGAGGATCATCCACAAAGTGGTGAGAGCTTTTCTGGCTAATCAATGATTTGCTATTTGCTGTGAGATCAGACTAACAATTTTTGATAGGTTCTTGAACGTCACCAACTTTTTATATGCACATTCCGCTCCTGTCGCATGGGCGGAGCCGGCCTCACCATTTGGAGCCATCATGCCTTATGCATGACTGTACCCCTTCCGTTCACTGTCCTATTGTTAGGGAAAAAAGGGGTGCTCCGTTCAAGGGTAGAGCGCCAAAACTTGTTCTGCCCGTAGGGCGAACATGGGACTTGCTTTGACAAAGGGTACTGTTTGCTTCTGAATAAAATTAGAGGTGCACCCTGGTTGCACTGAAGAAAAATGCAACCCAGAGGACTAGACCACGCAAACTGAAACCCTGCTCTATTCACTGTTTTGGGGGACGGACGATTTTAAGGTTAATGATAGTCCTTTGATGAGTTTATTCTAAAATGGCCGTCATCGCGCTGGCAAATAGCCCATGACGAACACAAAAATTTTTCTTTTTTCGATGCAAATTTCAATATGCGATATGCGAACCATAGGGGCGGAGACACTGCCGGGAGGCGGAGTCTCAACAACACTGGACTTGCGAAGTCGGTCCAATGCCTCGCTGAGCACAACAGTTCCTCAGGGACCCATTCTCTTCTGCACTTGTAGTATGCTCTCTGTAGTCTTTGCATACTTATGGAGACCACCGCCCTTAAGAAGTCCTTAATTAATGAAATCAAATATGATAAAAACATAAATCACTGTGAGCTTCTTTTCGGGATTCTTTCACAGGTAAATTTCAGCCGTACACGGATTGCATGGTGGGAAGCGAGATGGTGGACTGGTTGCTGGACTTGTCCGTTTCAACTGGAGCGCATTCGCCCGCCCTTTCAAGGATTTCAGGTTGGACTTTCTCTTGTGGGCATTTTCGAAAGCACTAGGAGGCTTTTATGATGGGTCTCGCAGTGAATGCAGCGCATGCTAATGCAGGAATTCAATGCAGAAAGGAAGATTCCCCACGGAGGTACCCATATAAGCTCTTATCAGAAGATCTGAAACGTTGTAGCACATAAGCAGGTGCAGTTCGGCTTGGTGAGGGCATTTTGCTGGCTCTCATCTATCAGCGTCGATGCCTCTTGTATAAACCTGTGGATTCCTATAGAACTGTTGCATGAGCTTTGTTTACTCTCGACAAGTTTGCAGGACGTACTATGTTGAGACTTGTAGTCTAACAGGAACTAGTAAAACGAACTAGCGTAAGCGCGAGTGCCCCCCTATACCGAACAGCGCCCATAAATAACCGAGAATTCTGCACAAAAACTTTTGTTCTTGCGTTGCGAACTGAGGGAAAGTTCCCGCAAAACGGTGCATGTTGGCGCTTTCTGACAAGTACTTTCGGTAGCGCGTTACGCCCACCCCGGAAAGTTCCACCCCTTCGTGGCTCGTGATACCAAAATGATGCTACTGTATTTTTTTCGAATTTTCATCTAGCGGTGATGTATAGCTAATTCTGCGTATACTTGCATGCAGAGGATGTAAATAAGTGATCGTCATTTCATCATTTTCAGATCAGCGGAATGTGGCAGACCCTCCTCGAGCACAACCTTATCTGTCACGGTATGTTTGTTCTTTCACACTGCATAACTTATGTGTCCTACCTACCTGTAATGCACTGCTATGAGTCCGATCCTGCTCTAGTCAAAATAACCTTATGTTCCCATTGTTCTGCTACTGGTGTAGTGGAGGGGATTCGCGCTGGGGTCAGAGTAACGAAGAGGCGCTGCGTTTTCTTCACGATAAGGATGATTCTATGGTAAAAGCTGAAGTGGTATGTCGTTGATGGGAAGTAGTCCGCTAGCTTTTCTTCGCCTCGTTGCAACAATCACGTCCGCTCAGTATCTAGAGGATCGGTTTTTGGGTGCACGTGCGCCACAAAAACCTCCACGACTCCAAATTCAGTCTATTTCATAGCGCACACAGAAACTGTTTAGAATTCTCTTCACCTTACTACTTCGACGCTGACCTTTCTGAAGACTCAGGAAGGTTCTGTGTGTGCAGATTGTTAGCAATAGGCAATATACACTGCATATAAACACTACTTACTGTCGCAGTCATTTCCCCATGCGGAAGGGATGATAGGGCGCGCGGCACTGCCGAGCGCAGACTTAGGGGCGTTTCTACGCGTTCTGCTTTTCTTTATAATCGCAGTGATTTCTTGAATTGCGATGTGACCTATACAAAAGTCCCTTTTTGAGGCTGCAGCTGATGAAAGAAGCCAGTATTTTGAGTCCTTGTCAGACTTATCTCGGCTACCAATCACCGTGGCTTGAAGGCAGAAGGCTCGCTGCCTGGACGGGAGCCGATTCTGGTTTGCTACCATACCACCTCCATCTCATGCTAACCTAAGCAACAAAGATGTTCCACAGTTAGAGTGGAGAAAGTCTGTTGCCACCCGAGAGCGTTTAGTTGGATGTGGGATACCTGCTGCGGTTACATCAAACATCTACGCCCTCACATGCCCTTCGCGTTTGCCTGATACACACTACAGCGTTGTCGTTAAAGATGGGAGACCCTCTGGAAGTGTCATAGCTGGGGGTGTGGCACGGTCTTTTTTTGCCATCTATGCCTTCTCTGCTCCTTTTGTTGGCTAGAAGACCGGAAGAAAAAAGAAGATGTGTGGTCCATTTATTGGCGTTGAAAAAGGCGTGCTCGTCTAGTTATGTGTACGGTATCTGAAGAATGTTGCGCTCGAGGACAATTGTAATCTGCAAATGAAGAGCGCGTCGGTGAGTTTTCTCTCCAACGCCTGCGTTCTTGCGCACTATCCACTTTGTCACAGCTGTCTCTCCTGAATCAACAAAAGTACTAATGCGTCAGGCACCATCAGACCCACTATAATAACCGTGGACACGCCCTCTCCAACACCCAAATATAACGAAATATGGGCTTATTCAAGTGCGATTACTGCTGCTCAACGCCGCAGTACGCGCTCCGTAAGTTATTACTAGAGTATGAGCTGTAGGCAAAAGTCAGACCCTAGACTCGAACCAGCATCTCCTGCTGACCGAGCGATTGCCTTCACCCGCTTACCTACCGAAAGCCACTCTTACCTCCTGCAGCTCTCGCGGAAATGGGACTGTAACTAGAAAGTAATTTGAACTGGACCGCGGAACCTCAATATGAATTAAAAAGAAATTGGCTCCTTGTGCCCTTGATAATACCTTGAAGCATACTTGATATCGCAAGTGTGAAAAAAAGAACTGATTCCTGGCCTTTTTGGGTTTTCTTAATCTATTCTACTCTGATCTATAGTCAGTACGAATTTTTAGTGACGGGCGAACTTCAATTTGTTGACAAGTTGGTTTGTTATCGTTGGGTAGACTCCGATATGGGCGACCAGTCGTGGCGTGAAATGACCAATGGTATTCCAGGTGAGAAATTTCATTCGGCTTTCTGCTAGGACGCGCCAGTGGGAAACGGGCAAGGAGAATCGTAATTTGCCGCTCCGCCGCGTGCGGCGATGGGCGCGGCGTTTCAACTCGTGTTAACTGTCGACTGGAGCACCGGACTTCATGTAGACCCCGTCATCGTAGACATTCATGACTATTTTCGGTTCTGAATTGCCTGTTGTCGCCATCTACTACCTGGAACCATCGTCATTTGCGGGCGCGACGTCGCACACGCCCACCAGCGCGGCGAATTACGATTCTCTTGTCACATACCCCGTGCCGGTTTACTCTTCCTCTTTGTTACATTACTTACTGTCTCTTCCATTTTACGATTCGACACTGTCAATGATAATTTAGGAAGATTCCAACGTAATGAACCTCGACTGAAAACGGAGGTACCTACTCGAGAAGACCTTGCCAATGCAGTATTTTTTCTGAGCACCGTCGGTCCAGACGCACTCTTCCGAATGATCCTGAAGAAGCTGTTAGTCTTTTCTATGGTTTCTTCAGCTCATAAGCTTAACACCTTCTTTAGTCCCCACGATCGGACACCTGAAGAGCTCGAACTCGTCTATGAGGAACTGCTGCACGTGAAAGCTCTCTCACATCTCAGCACCATGGTGAAGAGGGAACTCGCTACCGTAATCGGTTACGAACACCATACTCATGCAGGTGACTTCCTAGGTGAGCCCTAATTTTTCTTTGCCATATTTCAAACTAACAACTTCAGGTACGGTATTGTTTCACCAAGGCGAGCCTGGCAAGAATTGGTACATCATCTTGCGTGGAAGTGTTGATGTCAGCATTCATGGGAAAGTGGGTTTGAACTCTTTTCAAGTTGCGTTCTAATTGGCCCTCAAGAGGTAGCTTACCTCACTGAACGAACATTTTGTCCGTCACTCAGAATTCTTGCGATATTTGTAATTTCAGTGGACTTTTAATCCGTACGTGCCAAGTTTGTAAGGCGCTGCGTTTATACTTTGCGCGCGGCCCCGTAGCGTAGCGCTTTCCAAGCGCTACGCCAGCGGGCAGTTCGCCGGGGAGAGATGGAATATACGAAATCCAAGCGCTCCAGCGTGCACCAGCGTAACGCTTGGCACTGAGCAAAAGCTGCGGGAAACGCTGGAGAAAACGCGAGGCGTTTACGCTTTAGCGTTTACTTCTGGTGACGCTGGAATGCTAGAAATCATATGCATGCGCGGCCTCTCCCCGGCCACTGCCGCTGGCGTACGCTAGAAGCCGCTACCGCCACACTGCGCCTACGCTGCCGGCAAAAGTATAAACGCAGCCTAATTTCTTTGTTCGGCTTGCGTAAGCTAGGGGCGTGTCAGACAGGGGGTGGCTGGTTTGACGCGGCGCCAACCCGTTCTCCTTCATTACTTGTCGCTCGCTCCGCTTCAACATTGGTGAAGAATTGGCTACCGGCGCGCCAAGCCCAACCCACACCCCCTACCCTCTGGCACGCCCCGCATCCGCAGCGAGCAAGTTGTTAATAGCAAAGACACATTATGAATTCAAAGCATTTTTTCCAATGGATTTTCTTTTCAGGGTGTAGTATGCACCCTTCAAGAAGGCGACGATTTCGGCAAATTGGCATTGGTGAATGATAGTCCTCGAGCGGCCACGATCACGCTTAGGGACGATCAAGCGCAGTTTCTCACAGTGGACAAGCACGATTTCAACAGGTTCACTTTATTTTCAATTTTTTTAATTTTCCTCTCTTCTTTGCCTGGTCACGAACTCAGCCAAACCGAAGATCTCTTCCTTAGGAGATCCTTGGTGATTCGCTACAAAACCCAGTGGCTAATATTCATGGGCAAAAAAAAACTAACACAACAGAACTTGAAATGTTGAAATGGAGTGACCTAGTTTCGCGGCTGCGTTTCCACCAGTAGTGGCCGCTTCAGATAGAAAATCCCCACAGCTGAGTTTATTCCACGCAAAGTCGGGCCGGATCGCGACAATTTTAGACGTCCAGATAAGCATATGTGACATTTTAGGATTCTTCGAGATGTTGAGGCGAACACAGTCCGATTGAAAGAACATGGACAAGACGTGCTCGTCCTGGAGAAGATCAGTTTACCACGAGGAGCTGCCATCGAAGGTGGTCTGTCCAGGGCAATAACAAAAGGCACATGCTGGTAAGCATCACCGTTGATCTTCAGTGCTCAAATCTGTACTCAAAACCTTATACGCTTATTGAAATTATGTGGTACTTTCCATCTTGCGGTCCGCCGCGTGCGAACCAGGGCAACATTATTACGTTCATGGCGAATTTTCTAAAATATGCGACCCAAGCCCGTTTCTCACTGCCTCAGTCATGTTCGCTGCTGACGCTGGGATATGATAGGGGCTGGGTTTGGCGCAACTCCAGCACATTTTCCACCAATTGTTGTCGCTTGAACACTTCTACAGTTGGTTTACGACTAGGGAAGTTGGACTAGGCCCGCTCCAGTACCAACCCTTCTGGAAGTCTCAGAATCCTCAGAGGCTGCTACACACTCTTGTCGAATCTTTTCCCCACATGTCTGCCGTCGAACACAGGTGGGGCAAACTTCTATCAAGTTCCGAGAATAATATTAGGTTGGCGGGAAAGTTCTGTCATACATTTTTGAACCCAAGTGTTCAACTATTCACCTGCTGAAGAGGGGCTAACCGGTAATGTGGGACCAATTTATAACATTAGGGATTGGACCTTTATCTCATCATTGTCACTGAAGGCCCTCCTGCTCGATCCTTATTCTGCATTATGGACAAGAATGTTATCCGCTACCTTCAGCACCGACCCCTTCAAGCGCTTCCTTAAACTATTTCTTCTACCACCCTGGCGCCAGCATGGCAGCTGTCGACGCCGAAATAATGGAGCCTGCCGGAAATGGCGAAAAATGTCCAACAGGTCAATCAGACAAATCTTCCACGACGCTAGCTCTTCAGAGCGGCGGAGAGCCTACGGTTCGAATGACGAAGTGAGGTTTGGGAGTACCTGTAAACTCAGCTCTAGATAGCGGTGGGTCGGGAAACTACTGGATGAAGAAGCTGCCTCCTCGGTCAATCCGTACGCAAGGCAGCTACGAGATCTGAAGCGAATCGTCAAGCAGAGGGCAAAATCCATCGGCACAGTCCGTCTTCAACGTGCTGGTGCAGCACACCCCGTCAAAAAAAGTTCGAGCCGTACTTCATGCAATAGAGCTGGATGGCTCTTAATCCCCTTGCACGCGTGTAGTCAAGACAAATTGCTCTTCCTTACTGCTTTGCTGTGCCTCCCGCGTAATTAACCGATTACAGCCGAGAAAAACCTCCACGACTTTAGCCCAAGTCAAAGTTGAGATGATGTCCAACTTTGCGTCGCGCCGGCGTGCATTGTTAAGCGATGGCATCCACGAACTGTCCAAAAACTGGCAAGGATCTCTCAATAACATTGCTGTATAATTTTGATCTTGTACGCCTCTCTGTAAAAAGAAAGTCTAATTTGAAAAAAATGTGACAGAACTTTCCCGCCAACCTAATATAATTTTGCTGCACCACCAGCTTGGAAGGGGAGGAGCAATCCAGGAAAATCGCTTTTTTCCACACAAACTTCCATGTAATCGCGACCTCCGAACCAGTAAGCCGCAAGTAATGTGTAATATTAATATTTAATATTATATCAATATAACATTTTTTGAAAATGTTTTTTATTCTTTATAATATTTCCTAAAATGTTCTACCTTCAAAAAAAAAACTTTTTGTAGACCGTGGGTGCATTGTAGTGGGGGTCAAAATGGGATGGTTTTTGATTTGAAACTGATAGAGATTTTACCATTCGTTCCGGCGCCTTCATCTATGAGACTATACTTGGTAAAAATAGGGGCGGAGAAATTGGTCAACTTTCATTTTTTAAGTTTTGGGAGATTCAGGGTGATTGCGGTAGAGGCAGTAGTGAAGAGGTGTCGTGCTACAAGTCAATTCTCTTCTGTTCTGTTCATCCTGAGCAAGGATGCTTAGGTTAGGTTCGAAAGCTCCATACAGGCTCCAATAAAGCCGGAGACGACTCAAGGGACTGTAAGGTCTTACTGAATGAGCCAACAAAAATGAAAGAATCTGATAATCTGCAATATTGAGATGTTCTATTAGTACTTTATTCGAATGAATTACTGACTTTTTCTAGCTATTCGGTGATGGCAGGATTGGCAGAGAAGATGCTTGAATACGTATTGGAGACGCGAGTTGATGCGCAGGAGGATGGAGCAGAACTGGACGTGTTTCTCGAGGACCTCGTGCTTACGCATATCATTTATCTACCCACCAACACCCTCTGCAACTACCTCAAACACTATTATACAAGAGCGGCCGAGGTGAGAACAGTTTTCCTGGTTATGGGGGAGAAAGGAGGGAGAAGGGTAGTCAATAGCTCTGGAGGCAGTTATGTGCGTGTTTCTGAGGTTAAGTCATGGGCCGAATTTAGCCCGGACCAACAAAACCTTCCATCCTGCTGGTGTCGGCAACTAGATCCCAGACTCGCATTGATTTTCATAGTGAAAACACATATTATTTCTCGACTTATTCCATGCCATTACAACGAACATATTTATCGCTTTTGTCCGCGCCAAAGCTAAAGGGCGTGACCTATGAGTGGGCGGGGTATGGGATATGACGTTGACACCTTGAGCCTCTGTTTCTTAAAAAGGAATAGCTTTCAGCTGAAAAAAAGGTGAAGGTCAATTTTTCATCGTAGCTACTTCTAGTCGAGATCTTGAAATCAGGAGCAAAGGAGAACCTTTCATTGAAACCGCAAAATTTTTTACTATACACTTTGAGGGCGGAGATGGTGTAGTGACAAGTGGGGCGCTCACCATTCGCGCGGTCCCGGGTTCGAATCCCGGGTCGACTCCCGCCCAGGCCAACCAAGCCTTCTACCCTCCGGGGACGGTGAATTGGTACCAGATATCGTCTGGAGGATAAAACACTGACTTTGTAACATCGCTGCGACCGCAAAGCATTGGTATAGCGCCACATCGCATTCAATACCACTACGATTCGTAATGGAGTAGAATTGCGTGCGGCCGGCCCATGCCCCCAAAGGATTGACAACGGAAACCTTTATCCTTTATGCCTTTATACACTTTGTGCCTCTATTTCGTTTTTCCGATTTTTATAGCATTTTTAGAGAGCAAGAGCGGCTTTCCTCAAAGTCATGACACATAATTATTCAGCCTACTACAATCCAGTACCAGGGCACTGGACGATCTCGAGCAACGAATTTCAGCCAAACGACGAGTTGTCTCCTTTCTGTGGCTCTGGGTAAATACTCTAGGAATCCACTATTTTCTTGATCCTGCAGCAAATGCCTTTGTTGAGGTGAATCTTCTTTGTGACGTCACTGTAGCTAATTACAAGCCCCGCAGTACCAAATATGTTTCTTTTTCAGAGTTATATTGCCATGTACTGGAGGATAACCGTAGCTTACCAGGTTTGGGTCCGATAATTGTTCGACTGACAGCTTTACGTGACTTGCGAGAGGAGGCACGCCGTACCTTAGCCCGACATCCAGCAGTTGTTCTTGAATGCGGGGTGCTCTCCACAATGGCACCAGCACCAAGTCCTGTTTTGCCTAGCGACATCCTGTGAAGTCAGATCTATTGTTCTTTGCTATATTCATGAAAATGTCTTTTGAGGCAATCAGATCATTCCTTCCGTCGATACCACAACTTTATGCCTCACAATACGGGATGATAAGACGGCGAAGGAGATCGGTGAACTGGCGTCCGATACTCGCCATTCGGAGCTCAGCATCACGACGAATTGGCTTTTTGGTATAAGTGAAAAGCCAAGCGGAGGCGGTTTTATAGATGCTGAAGCACGTAGTAATATTCGTGTTCTCACAACGACGATGATCTTTGTGAAAGGGTAACAGGTCCTTGGCGTACGGGTACGCACACAGCCGGAGCGCCGTGAGGTGCGGGTTCAACTCCGCATCAGAATTCGACTTTCGCGCCATAACTCGCGATTCTTGTGATAGACATTCCGAAGCGGCGACTTGCGCGGCGTAAAACAGCGTTATCAGCATGACATAGAATCGTCGAAGTTAATTGAGGAATTTTTAGCGAAGCAGTCGGCAGGGAGGGGAGTGGTAAATTATCGGCATAAGCCGTTTGAAGACTCTTATGAGGAAGTGCCTCTGTTAGACGCACTGTTTGCGGCTTGAATCTTTCAAGTTATGGAAGCAGGGCACGTCCTTCCTGGGGGGATTCCTAGCAGAGGGGAGCGGGTGGTATTTGGTACCTGGGAGTAGGGGGTCGTATTGCCTTTGGGAGAAATCGGCTGCGTTAAGGTAACTTTTTCCGGTCATTGTCTTTTCGCTTCTGATATGTACCTCTCCCCCTCCCCTCTTCGGCAGCAGAAATTTGGTGACTGGAAAACTTTTGGTAACTTACAAAAGGTAACAGAGATAAGAAGTTGATAAAATCTAGTTAACCAGGGATTTGGTAAAGAGGGATGGGGAAGGGGTCGTACCGGAGGAAAGAATCGGGGTGTTGGAGGGAGGGGGGGGGAGTCGTACATTCCGAAATTTTTCCACGGTACAGAGGCAGGACGTGTGTTTGGAAGCGCCCAGCATTCAAACATAAAGGTCCCTTGAACACTGGACAGGCCATATTCGCATCCAGCACCAGCATTTATGAGTCTCATCTCGCTGTCCGCCCTGCCCATCTTTATTCTTCTTGATCCGGCTGAACTTTCAGAAGCCATTTTTCATATTCAGAAATATTTTCAACAAAAAATTTTTCAGAAAAAGTTGTTTTCTATGACGGCGATGTGAGCATTCCGACGATGTTGTCTTTAAACAGCAAGCTATACGTCGTGAGCAAAGATGAAATAGACTCCTTGGTGAGTGCCGTGCTTATTACTCATTTATTATTTACTTACAGTCTTGTTCGCTGCGGACGCTGAGGCGTGTCAGGAGGTGGATTTAGCGCAGTGCCCGCCAGTTTTTGACCAATTACGGTCGCCTGCTATTAGGGTGTCCACAAAGTTCGTTGGCCATTCGTTTTTTGCAGAGCTTATGAAGATAACTCACCAAGTTGAACTTACCGG